ATGCGCTCGACGGCGCTGGGACGCCAACGATTTGTCCGGTCTCCCCTCCGACGACGTACACGCAACCTACTGCTGCGACACCCAGCCCGACCGCCGCGACACCCAGCCCGACCAGCGCCCCTAGCCCGGCAGCTTCTGGGGCTTCTGCCGTTGGCGATCCTCACTTGCAAAACGTTCATGGTGAGCGGTTCGACTTGATGAAGGAGGGCAATCACGTGCTCATAAGCATTCCTCGTGGACAGATCGCCGAAAACGCCTTGCTTCGCGTGCGGGCCGATGCGCGCCGATTGGGTGGACAATGTGCGGATATGTACTTCCAAGCGCTGAACGTTACAGGGTCTTGGGCAGAGGCCAGTCAAGCTGGAGGGTATCGAAGACGCCTACGGCGAATCACCGCCGCCCCCTACCTTTATGAAACGCGCCTCTGTGGCCAAGCGTTTGGGTCCAGAGCTTGAACAAACTTTCGGACCAGGTGCTCCCCGAGCCGCTGTCGAAACCTTTCGGGGAATACGTGGGCGAGGAAGAGGAGGATGAGGAGAGGGAGGGAAAAGGAGGAGGAGGAGGAGGAGGAGGAGGGGGAGATCTCTTAGGAGCCTCGTGCGCCATTCCTGGGGCCTTCTGAGAGCTTCCTCGGGACCTCTTGGAGGCCTCTTGGGGGTCTCCTTGGGCCTCTTGGGGGCCTTTGGGGTCTTCTTGGGGGCCCTTTTGGTCTTCTTGCGGCGTCCCTGGTCTGTCTGACGCCGTCAGAAGCCACCTTGGACGCCTCTCTGGGCCTTCTTGGGGCCCTCTTGGGGCGCTGAAGAGCCGTCTCGGAGGCCATTTTGGGCATGTTGCAGGCCTCTTGGGCCGTCTTGGGACCCTTTTGGGGCTGTCTTGGGATTCTCTTGGGCCGTCCTGGGGCCATCTTGGAGGCCTCTCGCGCGATCTGTGGCCGTCTCGGGCCGTCGGACGGCCGAAAGGAAGAAAACGTCCAAATTCTTCGCAAACCGAAGGCAAATCACTGCTTCTGGCATCTTGGGGCCCTCGTGGAGTACCTCTTGGAGGCTTGTTGGGCTTTGGGGCCTCTTGGACCGTCTTGGGCTATCTTCTTGAGGCCATCTTAGGCCGTCTTCGGTGCATCTTGGGCCGTCTTGGAGACATCTTGGGACTTCTTGAGGCCATCGTGGGTGCCTTGGAGGCGTTTTGGGACCGTCAAGGAGGCTATCTTGGGGCCATCTTGACCGAAAAAGCTGACGAGACGGGCGGCCAGCGGCATCGCCGAAGCCCCAGGGGTAGTCTTAACAAGAACCATACAATATTGTAAATTTAGCGCGCTGGGCACCTCTGTGGCAAGCCAGCAGGGGGCGGCGGATCTAGTGGACTTCGGCCCATCCCGCCACTGTGCCTGGGTTGTCGGTCAGAGGCCCTTTGGATGCCTGTGGGGATCTACCGGGAGATCTCTTGAAGCCTCTTTCGGGCATACTTTAAAGCATCTCGGGGGCTTCTTGGGGGCCTGATTTGGGCATCTCGGGGCCTCTTGGGGGCCTCCCGGGGCCTTTCCGGGGCTCCTCGGGGGCCTCTGGGGAGATCTCGGGGCCATCTTGGGGCGGAGGGCTCAAAGCGTCAGTTCGTGTTCCTCCTCTTGGGGCTGTCTTGGGGGCCTCTTCGGCCCTTCTTGGAGGCTCTTGGGCCGTTTTTGGGTGGTCTTGGGCGCCTCTTGGGCCGTCCTGGACGCTCTGAGGACCAACAAATGCCCAGACCGTAAATCAAATGATTTTGACCATTATCGGCCTCTTGGGCCGCTCTCCAGGGCCTCCAAAACGGCCCAAGAGGTGTGCAAGAGGGCGGGGGACCCCAGAGAGCGCCCGCGAGCGCCCAGGGGCGCTCGGAACTCCGGGCTGTAGGCCCTTTCCAATAACACGTATAGTACTTAACGCAGAGAGCTCGCAGGGACCGCAGGGCACTCCAACTCGTGCCTTTTCAGGGCACGGTGGCGGATCACTACAGCGTGGAGCAAACTGACGCCGAGATTCCAGAATGGGTTGCTTTGGGTAAGGTTGAGCTCAAAGTAGTTCGTGGATGTACGGACAGTGGCCTCCGCTACTTGAATCTGTACGTGAAGCACCTGGGGCGGGCAGGATTTGTTGTCGGAGGTCTGCTGGGAGAGGACGACCACGAGGACGTCATGGTTCCTCCAGAGGCATGTGCCACGCGTCTGGCCCTGGTGGATAATGTGGAAGCAGGCCTGAAAGCTCCATCAGTGGCCTCGGTCGCAGTGGCAACCCTTGCGTGACCGACCGTGCTCGCCTTGCACGTCATCGAAGACGCCGTCGGGTATGCGCCCCGACCAGTCGACCAAGCAGTGAGTTCGGACTGGCGTTGTCGGGTGAGCAACTGTTTCTTCGCTGAAGCCGATCTCCTTCTGTTCCTGATTCTGATTCGCTGCTCCTCAGAGGGCGCCGGAGAAACCCTCGCCCCTCGTCCCTTGCGTCTGGCTCCTCCTCCCTCGTCCCCGCGCTTACCTCCTCCGAGACCGCTCCTTCCTCATCCGTCCTCCCTCCCCCTCCGTTCTGGGCAGCCTGCAGGGGCCTGCCGTGGGCCTCCAGGTGTTTTTTCCAGGAGGGGGACCTGCAGCGGGTCTTCGTCGTCCTCGTCGTCGTCCTCGTCGTCGTTGTCCTCAGCCTGCAGGAGCCTCCAGATGGCGCCCCCAGGGTTCCCCATAGCGAGGGGGCTCCCGCTCGAGACGTCCAAGCGAGTTACTCACGGACGAGGCTCCCGCTCGAGACTTCTCTACGATGAGTGTGCGACTTAGTGTGTGACCGTGTAGGTGTGAACGACGACGATGGTGATGATGCTGCTGCTGCTTGTGATGATGATGACGACGATGCTGATGAGGAGAATGATGCTGATGATGACGCTGATGGTGATGTCGAGGAGAAGTTTGAGAATGACGAGGATGATGCCGATGATGCTGATGATGCTGCTGCTGATGATGATGCTGATGATATCGACGATCACGGTGCTGCTGCTGATGATGATGAGGTTGAGGATCAGGATGAGTATGATGATGATGGTGCTGATGATGGTGCTGATGATGGTGATGACGACGACGATTACGACCACGATGATCATGCTGATGATGACGACTACGATTATGATGAAGGTGATGATGATACGGTTGGTGATGCTGACGACGATGACTATGATGATGATGCTGATGCTGATGATGCTGACGGTGCTGGTGATGATGCTGATGATGACGATGCCGATGATAATGACGATGCTGATGACAATGATGATGACGATGATGATGATAAGCATGACGCATATGATGATGATGTTGATGCTGATTGTGGTGAGGGTGATGATGAAGATGATGACGACGATGATGATGATGATGATGATGATGATGATGATGATGATGATGATGATGATGATGCCGATGATACTGATGGCGATGATGATGATGCTGCTGATGATGATGATTCTGATGATTCGGGTGACGATGATTGTTATGATGATGGTGACGGTGACGGTGACGGTGACGGTGATGGTAATGGCGATGGCAATGGCAATGGTAATGGCAATGATAATGGTAATGGTAATGGTAATGGTAATGGTGATGGGGATGCTGATGGTGATGATGACGCTGCTCTCTTGCTGATGGTACTGAGGATGAGTATGCTGCTGGTGGTGGTGATGTTGATGACAATGAGGATGATGCTGGTGATGCTGATGGTGATGGCGATGGTGATGGTGATGGTGGTGCTGACGATGATGATGCTGGTGGTGATGATGATGATGATGATGATGACGATGATGCTGCTGCGAGTGTGTGAGCGGTGTCACTCATGTTGATTATGATGATGATGATGATGATGGTAATGACGATGCCGAAGATGACGATTATGATTATGATTTTAATGATGCTGATGATGATGGTGGTGGTGACGATGATGCTGTTGAGGATGATTGGTGATGCTGATGATGATGATGATGATGATGATGATGGTGCTGATTGTGATGGGGGTGGTGGTGTTTATTATGCTGATGATGCTGATGCTGATGATGGAGATGATGATGCTGATGACGATGACGTTGATGATGCTGATGATGATGCTGATTGTGATGGGGGTGGTGGTGTTTATTATGCTGATGATGCTGATGCTGATGATGGAGATGATGATGCTGATGATGATGATGTTGGTGATGCTGATGATGATGACGATGATTATGTTGACGATGATGATGAGGATTATGATAGTGATGCTGATTATAATGATGATGCTGAGGATGAGGATGATGATGGTGATGATCATGCTGACGATGGTGATAGTGATGATGATGGTGATGATGATGGAGGTGATGATGATGAAGATGCTCAGGGTGATGCTGATTCTTGTGATGGGGGTGACGATGATGGATTTGATGATGATGAATGTGATGATGCTAATGATGTTGTTGATTATGATGATGATGACGACGATGATGGTTACAAATATTGCTATGATGGTGGTGATGATGATGGTGCGTTTCTTGTTGCTGTTGTTTATGATGATGGGGGTTGATGGTGCTGATGATGACGATGCTGCTGCTGCTGCTGCTGCTGCTGATGATGATGATGATGATGATGATGGTAGCAGTACGAGAGGAGAAGTGGGTGAGGAGGACGAGGAGGTTCCTGCGGGGGGTGTCCAGAGAAAACTCGAGCCCTTTGCAGGACATGGGGAAGATAGTCCAGTGACAGGGGCCCTCCTGGCTTTGAATGGAGAGAGTTTCCCGGGCCGGGCCCTGGCACTACAGCCCAGCAGGGCCATCATCACTCAGAAGTCATCGGCAAGGGTCTGTGCTTTTATGGCTTGATGGCCGTCCGTGCCCTTTAGGACAGTGCTGGCGATATGTGCCATCTGTGCGGCAGCACCAGATCGGAGTTATTTCGGCTCAGACAACAGCTACGCACATTCCGGCACCTTTACTTGATATCGAGTTTTTTTTTCTGCGCGCCGTGAAACTCACGCGGGATGAAGTCCTCCAGCATCGCGGTACTCTTGTTTTTAGTTGGCTGCGTGGGAGCTGCTCAGCTCAAAGTGATTGACGACGCGACCGACGAGTCTGGAGCAGCACGTTCCCCAGTCTATGGGTACGAAATCACTTACAAGTCTACGCACCAGATTGATGACATTTACTTTGTTAAGAATGGCGCGCGGACGATCCCTTTCATGGAATCTTTCCCGACCTACGGCGGCTGCACCCTCACTCAGGGCGGCCCTTGCAACGGAGGTCATCAGAGCCCGTGGGACTCATCAGGCAAGGCTGATAATTCTGGGTGCTGGTCATTCACTACTCACAGTATCTTATGCGATCATGACATAACCTCCGACGAAGTGCATATCGAATTCTGGTCGGGCGGCTATTCTTCCACGAGCGGCTTAACTGTGAAATCATTGGACGCGGGTGGATCAGTAATTGCGACCGTGGCTGATGTTGGGTCCCGGTCAGGGCTTACTGCTTGCAATGCGCTCGACGGCGCTGGGACGCCAACGATTTGTCCGGTCTCCCCTCCGACGACGTACACGCAACCTACTGCTGCGACACCCAGCCCGACCGCTGCGACACCCAGCCCGACCAGCGCCCCCAGCCCGGCAGCTTCTGTGGCTTCTGCCGTTGGCGATCCTCACTTGCAAAACGTTCATGGTGAGCGGTTCGACTTGATGAAGGAGGGCAATCACGTACTCATAAGCATTCCTCGTGGACAGATCGCCGAAAACGCCTTGCTTCGCGTGCGGGCCGATGCGCGCCGATTGGGTGGACAATGTGCGGATATGTACTTCCAAGCGCTGAACGTTACAGGGTCTTGGGCAGAGGCCAGTCAAGCTGGAGGGTATCGAAGACGCCTACGGCGAATCACCGCCGCCCCCTACCTTTATGAAACGCGCCTCAGTGGCCAAGCGTTTGGGTCCAGAGCTTGAACAAACTTTCAGACCAGGTGCTCCCCGAGCCGCTGTCGAAACCTTTCGGGGAATACGTGGGCGAGGAAGAGGAGGATGAGGAGAGGGAGGGAAAAGGAAGAGGAGGAGGAGGAGGAGGAGGAGGAGGAGGAGGAGGAGGAGGAGGAGGGAGGAGATCTCTTGGGAGCCTCGTGCGCCATTCCTGGGGCCTTCTGAGAGCTTCCTCGGGACCTCTTGGAGGCCTCTTGGGGGTCTCCTTGGGCCTCTTGGGGGCCTTTGGGGTCTTCTTGGGGGCCCTTTTGGTCTTCTTGCGGCGTCCCTGGTCTGTCTGACGCCGTCGGAAGCCATCTTGGACGCCTCCCTGGGCCGTCTTGGGGCCCTCTTGGGGCGCTGAAGAGCCGTCTCGGAGGCCATTTAGGGCATGTTGGAGGCCTCTTGGGCCGTCTTGGGACCCTTTTGGGGCTGTCTTGGGATTCTCTTGGGCCGTCCTGGGGCCATCTTGGAGGCCTCTCGCGCGATCTGTGGCCGTCTCGGGCCGTCGGACGGCCGAAAGGAAGTAAACGTCCAAATTCTTCGCAAACCGAAGGCAAATCACTGCTTCTGGCATCTTGGGGCCTTCGTGGAGTACCTCTTGGGGGCTTGTTGGGCTTGGGGGCCTCTTGGACCGTCTTGGGCTATCTTCTTGAGGCCATCTTAGGCCGTCTTCGGTGCATCTTGGGCCGTCTTGGAGACATCTTGGGACTTCTTGAGGCCATCGTGGGCGCCTTGGAGGCGTCTTGGGACCGTCTTGGAGGCCATCTTGGGGCCATCTTGACCGAAAAAGCTGACGAGACGGGCGGCCAGCGGCATCGCCGAAGCCCCAGGGGTAGTCTTAACAAGAACCATACACCATTGTAAATTTAGCGCGCTGGGCACCTCTGTGGAAAGCCAGCAGGGGGCGGCGGATCGAAGACGCCTACGGCGAACCACCGCCGCCCCCTGCCTTTTTGGAAGCGCCTATGTGGCCGAACGTTGAGGCCAGACCTGCCAAGCCATCGAACCATGTGTTCCCCGAATCGGTTTGGAAAGCCTTCGGGGAACACGTGGGCATCTTGAAGGTCATCTTGGCCGTCTTGGAGGCCTATTGGGCGATCTTTGGAGGGCTCTTGGGCCGTCTCGGGCCGTCGGAAGGCCGAAAAGAAGGGAAATGCCAAAATCCGTCAAAAACTTTCGGGAAATCCATGTTGTTGGCCTCTTCTGGCCTTCCTGCAGGCCCTCTTGGGGGCCTCTTGGGCCGTCTTGGGCCAGCTTCGAGCCAACTTCGGCCATCTTGGTGGGTTCCTGGCACGTCTGACGCCGTTGGGAGCCGTCTTGGGGGCCTTTCTGGGCCAACGGGGGACCCTCTTGGGGCGATTCGGGGCCGTCTTGGAGGCCATCTTGGGCGTCTTGGAGGCCATCTTGGGCGTGTTGGAAGCCTCTTGGGCCGTTCTGGGGCCCTCTTGGGGCCATCTTGGAGGCCACCCGGGCCGTCATGGGGCCCTCTTGGGAGCCTCTTGGGCGATCTTGGGGGCCTCTTGGGCCGTCTTGAGCCGTCGGAATGCCGAGAAGAAGCAAATTCCAAAATCCTTCGAAAACCGAAGGAAAATCAATGATTTTGGCCTCTTCGGGCCCTCCTGGAGGACCTCTTGGAGGCCTCTTAGGCCGTCTGGGAGGCCTCTGGGGGTCCTCTTGGGCCGTCTTGGGCCGTCTTCGACTTTTGCGGGCCTTTTGGGCCGTCTTAGACCATCTTGAGGCCATCTTGGGCCGTCTTGGGTGCATCTTGGAGCCATCTTACCCGTCTTGGAGGCCATTTTGGCCGTCTTGGAGGCATCTTGGAGGCCATCTTGGGCCATCTTGGCCGTCTTGGAGGCCATCTTGGGCGTCTTGGAGGCCTCTTGGGCCGTCTTGAGGCCCTCTTGGGGCCTTCTTGGGGGCCTCTTGGGCCGTCATGGGGCCATCTTGGAGGCCTCTTGGGTGCTGTTGGGGCGATGTTGGGGACCTCTTGGGCCGTCTGGGGCCGTCGGAGAGCTGAAAAGAAGAACATGCCAAAATCCTTCAAAAACCTAGGAAAATCAATGATTTTAACCTATTCGGGCCTTCCTGGAGGGCGTCTTGGAGGGCTCTTGGGCCGTCTTGGAGGCCTTTTGCGGGCCTTTTGGGCCGTCTTAGACCATTTTGAGGCCATCTTGGACCGTCTTGGGTGCATCTTGGAGCCATCTTACCCGTCTTGGAGGCCATCTTGGCCGTCTTGGAGGCATCATGGAGGCCATCTTGGGCCATCTTGGCCGTCTTGGAGGCCATCTTGGGCGTCTTGGAGGCCTCTTGGGCCGTCTTGAGGCCCTCTTGGGGCCTTCTTGGGGGCCTCTTGGGCCGTCATGGGGCCATCTTGGAGGCCTCTTGGGTGCTGTTGGGGCGATGTTGGGGACCTCTTGGGCCGTCTTGGGCCGTCGGAGAGCTGAAAAGAAGAACATGCCAAAATCCTTGAAAAACCTAAGGAAAATCAATGATTTTAACCTATTCGGGCCTTCCTGGAGGGCGTCTTGGAGGGCTCTTGGGCCGTCTTGGAGGCCTTTTGCGGGCCTTTTGGGCCGTCTTAGACCATCTTGAGGCCATCTTGGGCCGTCTTGGGTGCATCTTGGAGCCATCTTACCCGTCTTGGAGGCCATCTTGGCCGTCTTGGAAGCATCTTGGAGGCCATCTTGGGCCATCTTGGCCGTCTTGGAGGCCATCTTGGGCCAAGTTGGGGCAACAAAGGCATTGACAGATGGATTTTCGGAAACTTGCGGGTGGCCGGCGGGACGGGCCGAAGCCCACTGGGGAGTTCTTTTAGAAAAAGAACCAAAACCAAAACCTGAAACATCCAGCACGCCGTGCACCCCTGTGGCAAGACCACAGGGGGCGGCGGATCGAAGACGCCTACGGCGAATCACCGCCGCCCCCTGCCTTTTTGGAGACGCCGATGTGGCCGAAAGTTGGATTAGAGCTTGGCCAAGCTATCGGACCATGAGTTCCCCGAGTCGGTTTGGAAAGCTTTCGGGGAACACATGGGAGAGAATGATTATGAACAGGAAGAGGAAGAGGAAGAAATAGAGTAGGAGGATGAGGGTTGTTAGGAGTCTCTTGGGGCACCCTTGGGGTCTGTTGGGGGCTTCTTGGGGGCCTCTTCGAGGCCTCTTGGAGGCATCTTGGGGGCCTCCTTGGGCCTCTTGGGGGCCTTTGGGGGCTTCCTGGGGGTCTCTTTGGCCGTCTTAGGGCGTTCCTGGTCCGTCTGACGCCGTCTGGAGCCGTCTTGGGGGCCTCTCTGGGCCGTCTTGGGGCCCTCTTGGGGCGCTTCAGGGCCGTCTTGGAGGCCATGTTGGGCGTCTTGGAGGCCTCTTGGGCCGTCTTGGGGCGCTCTTGGGGCCGTCTTGGGGGGCCCTTGGGCCGTCATAGGGCCTTCTTGGAGGCCTCTTGGGCGATCTTGGGGGCCTCTTGGGCCGTCGGAAGGCCGAAAAGAAGAAAACGCAAAAAACCTTCAAAAACCTAAGGAAAACCAATGATTTTGGCCTCTTCGGGCTCTCCTGGAGAACGTCTTGGAGGCCTCTTGGGCCATCTTGGAGGCATCTTGGGGCCATCTTGGCCGTCTTGGAGGGCATCTTGGGCCGTCTTGGAGGCATCTTGGAGCCATCTACCCGTCTTGGAGGCCATCTTGGCCGTCTTGGAAGCATCTTGGAGGCCATCTTGGGCCATCTTGGCCGTCTTGGAGGCCATCTTGGGCCAAGTTGGGGCAACAAAGGCATTGACAGATGGATTTTCGGAAACTTACGGGTGGCCGGCGGGACGGGCCGAAGCCCACTGGGGAGTTCTTTTAGAAAAAGAACCAAAACCAAAACCTGAAACGTCCAGCACGCCGTGCACCCCTGTGGCAAGACCACAGGGGGCGGCGGATCGAAGACGCCTACGGCGAATCACCGCCGCCCCCTGCCTTTTTGGAAGCGCCTATGTGGCCGAACGTTGAGGCCAGACCTGCCAAGCTATCGGACCACGTGTTCCCCGAATCGGTTTGGAAAGCCTTCGGGGAACACGTGGGCATCTTGAAGGTCATCTTGGCCGTCTTGGAGGCCTCTTGGGCAAGCTTTGGGCGATCTTTGGGGCTTTTTGGGCCGTCTCGGGCCAGCTTCGAGCCAACTTCGGCCATCTTGGTGGGTTCCTGGCACGTCTGAAGCCGTCGGAAGCCGTTTGGGGGGCCTCTATGGGCCGACTTGGGGCCCGCTTGGAATGCTCCAGGGCCGTCTTGGAGGCCATCTTGGGCGTCTGGGAGGCCATCTTGGGCGTGTTGGAGGCCTCTTGGGCCCTCTTGGGGCCCTCTAGGGGCCATCTTGGAGGCCACTTGGGCCATCATGGGGCTCTCTTGGGGGCCTCTTGGGCGATCTTGGGGGCTTCTTGGGCCGTCTTGAGCCGTCGGAGAGCCGAAAAGGCGCAAATGCCAAAATCCTTCAAAAACCATGGGAAAATCAATGATTTTGGCCTCTTCGGACTCTCCTGGAGGACCTCTTGGAGGCCTCTTGGGCCGTCTGGGAGGCCTCTGGGGGGCCTCTTGGGCCGTCTTGGGCCGTCTTGGACTCTCTTGGGCCGTTTTGGAGGCCGTCTTGGACCATCTCGGGCGGACTTGGAGGCCATCTTGGGCCATCTTCGCGATTTTTTGAGGATGTCCCGAGCGAAACGGCCGTTTTTGGGCATTGACAGAGGCATTTTGGGAAATGCGCGGGTGGCCGGCGGGACGGGCCGAAGCCCACTGGGGAGTTCTTTTAGAAAAAGAACCAAAACCAAAACTGAATCATCCAGCACGCCGTGCACCCCTGCAAGCAGGGGGCGGCGGATCGAAGACGCCTACGGCGAATCACCGCCGCCCCCTGCCTTTTTGGAAGCGCCTATGTGGCCGAACGTTGAGGCCAGACCTGCCAAGCTATCGGACCACGTGTTCCCCGAATCGGTTTGGAAAGCCTTCGGGGAACACGTGGGCATCTTGAAGGTCATCTTGGCCGTCTTGGAGGCCTCTTGGGCAAGCTTTGGGCGATCTTTGGGGCTTTTTGGGCCGTCTCGGGCCAGCTTCGAGCCAACTTCGGCCATCTTGGTGGGTTCCTGGCACGTCTGAAGCCGTCGGAAGCCGTTTGGGGGGCCTCTATGGGCCGACTTGGGGCCCGCTTGGAATGCTCCAGGGCCGTCTTGGAGGCCATCTTGGGCGTCTTGGAGGCCATCTTGGGCGTGTTGGAGGCCTCTTGGGCCCTCTTGGGGCCCTCTAGGGGCCATCTTGGAGGCCACTTGGGCCATCATGGGGCTCTCTTGGGGGCCTCTTGGGCGATCTTGGGGGCTTCTTGGGCCGTCTTGAGCCGTCGGAGAGCCGAAAAGGCGCAAATGCCAAAATCCTTCAAAAACCAATGGAAAATCAATGATTTTGGCCTCTTCGGACTCTCCTGGAGGACCTCTTGGAGGCCTCTTGGGCCGTCTGGGAGGCCTCTGGGGGGCCTCTTGGGCCGTCTTGGGCCGTCTTGGACTCTCTTGGGCCGTTTTGGAGGCCGTCTTGGACCATCTCGGGCGGACTTGGAGGCCATCTTGGGCCATCTTCGCGATTTTTTGAGGATGTCCCGAGCGAAACGGCCGTTTTTGGGCATTGAGAGATGGGTTTTGGGCATTTTGCGGGTGGCCGGCGGGACGGGCCGAAGCCCACTGGGGAGTTCTTTTAGAAAAAGAACCAAAACCAAAACCTGAAACGTCCAGCACGCCGTGCACCCCTGCAAGCAGGGGGCGGCGGATCTAGTGGCTTTCGGCCCATTCCGCCACCGCGCCCTGTTTGTAGGTCAAAGGCCTCTTCGCCCGCCTTTGGGCCCTTCTGGGCCCGAGACGGTTGCGCGGGAAGACGCCTGGCGCGCGCTGGGAGCCCCGGGAGATTTTGAGCTCTCCAGGATGGAGGACCGAGGCTCGGGGGATCGAGCCGGGGACCCGAGGACATTCGAAGCCGTGCCCCGCAGATCACCAGCCTCGAACTTATCTCTATCCGTAAGATTGACACGCCTAAAGGCGATAACAATCTTAGGGATGCTCCCTGAAAAACTAAGGGAATCCCTAAGATTGGCATTGTGATGAGGCGATGCCCAGCTTAGGGATAGGGATATGTTCCAGGCTGGTAAGCAGACGCGGTGGCGGATCCGATTCCCGATTCCTCCCCCGCCTTCTCCTCCCGGCTTATGATGCTCCAACCTACTTCAGCCTTAACCACCAGCCAGGAAGAATTTTCGAGCGCCCAGAAAAGTACCGAAGCTCAAGGGTTTTCGCGTGCCGGGCCCTGGGAGACACTCGCCCGACACTGTTTCGCCACTGTCTCGACACTCTTTTGACACTTTTCTGGGTGCTCGAAATTATATCTGGGATGTGGTCCTTCAGTAGGACGGGAACAATATAACTCCTGGCGATATTTCCCCCTGCGGCGAAGCCGCCAGCGCTTGCGGACGGCCGCTTCGGCCAGGCTGATGGACAAGCTGCGGCACCAGCCCGGCACCAAGGACGCGGACTGGTTCGACACGGCCGCTGGTTCGGTGGACATCTACGGCGGGCAGGGTTTTCGTGATTGGGGCTGCGAGGAGGGATGGGAAATCAAGAGTCTGGAGGGGGGAGGGAGGGACAGGGAGGAGAGAGAGAGGGGAAGTGGGGATGAGGAACCAGAGAGGTTGACTGGGGAGGGTCGAGGAGGTGGGGGGAGGGTGGAAAGGAGGAGGGTGAGGGGGCGTAGTTGGAGGAGGAGGAGGAGGAGTAAATGAGGAGGAGGAGGCGGAGGAGGAAGACGATGCTGGTGCTGCTGATTGACTGATGACAACGACGACGATATTGATGACGGCGGCGACGACGATGAGGACGATAACGATGACGCTGAAGACTATGCTTATCCGGATGACGTTGCAGACGATGCTGATGTTGTTGATGATATTGATGCTGATGATGAGGATGATGCTGATGATTTTGATGACGATGATGATGCTGCTGATGCTGATGAAGATGTGTGGAATGTTGGACGTGGTGATAATGATAGTGATGCTCTGATGATGATGCTGACGATCATACCGATGATGAATGTAATGATGATGATGCTGTTGATGCTGATGATTACGACGATGCTGATGATGGTGCTGTTGTCGCTGCTGATGATGATGGAGACAATAATGACGATGATGATGTTGCTGATGGTGGTGATGATGTTGATGCTGATGATGACGATGACGACGACGACGGCGGCGGCGACGACGACGACGAGGACGACGAGGACGTCGAAGACGACGAGAACGACGAGGACGAGGGCGACGAGGATGATGACGATGATGATGCTGTTGTTGATCATGATGAGGATGATGATGATGGCCGCTGGTGATGATGATTGATATCATGACGCTGATCATGATTATGATTGTGGTGATGATGCAGATGATGCTGCTGATCCTAATGATGATGCTGATGCTTCTGATGATCATGATTGCGATACCGATTGCGATGATGCTGCTGCTGATGATGGGGACGATGCTGCTGCTGCTGATGATGATGCTGATGGTTACGATGCTCGTGATGGTGATGGAAGTTTGATTACATTGTCACGAAGACGATGAAGACGATGGCGATGATGATTATGGTGTTGCTGACGATGTTGACACATGTACATATGATGGCTTGGATGCTGCTGCTGATGATGATGATGATGATGGTGATGCTGATGTTGTTGTCGTTGACGATGCTGATGGCGACGACGATGACGAGGCTGATGCTACTGAGGATGATAATGATAATGATGATGATGATGATGATGATGATGATGCTGATGATGATTATGATGATGATGATGATAGCGGTGATGATGATGCTGGCGATTCTGGTGATGCTGATGATGACGATGGTGATGACGTCCACGACGGAAATTATACTTATGCTGTTGTTGTTGATGGTTATGATGATGATGATGATGATGATGATGATGATGATGATGATGATGATGATGATGATACTGATGTTGCTGATGATGATCCTGATTTTGGCTGCGGCGTCGGCGACGAGGACGACGAGGACTACAAACATGAGGATGACGACGAGGACGACGAGGACGACGAGGATGCTGATGATGATGATGATGATGAAGGTTATGATGATGATGATTCTGATCATGATCATGATGACGACAGTGTCGATTTTGCTGATGATGATGTTGCTGGTGATGGTGATGGTGATGATACTGATGGTGATGAGGGTGGCGATGATGATGGTGATGCTGATGCTGATGCTGATTATGATGATGCTGCTGATGATGACGATGATGATGACGATGGTTCTGATGATGATGACAATTAGCATACGGATGATGATGCTGGTGAGGAGGAGCAGGAGGATGAGGAGGAGGAGGAGGGGAGGATGACGATGATGGTGGTGGTGGTGGTGGTGATGATGCTGGTGGTGGCGATGATGATGATGATGATGATGATGATGATGATGATGATGATGATGATGATGATGATGATGATGATGATGTCAACGACGACCACGACGAGAACAACAATGATGATGATTAAGATCACAACGATGATGCTGGTGGTGGCGATGATGATGCTGATGATGATGATAATGATGATGGTGATGGTGATGGTGATGGTCCCCACCTCATCCAGAGAGGGCTCATCAACGTCGCCACGATCGACAGCAGCCAAGGCGACGACGCAAACCTCGTCATCCTTTGCACCTCCCGAGCCAACCCCTACGGCCAATGGGGCTTCATGGACGATCCCCACAGGGTCAACGTCGCATTCACCCGTGCCCATGAAAGGATCGTAGTGCCCATTAACGGGCGCATGGCATCCGCAGCCACAGAATCCCAGATGCACACCCTTGCCGAGTGGGCGACTGGTGCCAACCTGTGGACCCAGTGTTCGTCAACCTCCCTGGGAGCAGGCGCGAACCTCTCGAGACCCCCAGATTCTTTCTCAAAATGGTCCTCGAGACCACCACAGGGTCGGAGACACTCAATCTCTCTCTCTTTTTTTTTTTTTTTTTTTTCTCTCTCTCTCTCTCTCTATATATATATATTTATATCGGGAGAACCAGGCAAGGTGTGCCGCCGAGCGCGACAAGCGGGCCGAGGAGAAGAAGGCCAGAAGATGTCTGAGAAACGAGCCCTCGGCATCCAGACCCTATACGACAGCAGGCTGCCCGACGGCCTTTGCTGGGACAAGCTGATTCACGAATTGCGAAAAGCAGGCGGCACCGTCCTGCGTGACCGCGCCCTGGCCCCTGTCCTCTACTCCGCCCTCAGCCTACACCCGCACCCGTACGGCCCCAGGGGCGCGCCCAAGGACCTTTTCGAGCAATGCCGCAAAATGGTCAGCCACGGTGGATACCTCTTCGACCCATCCGAAGACAGACTATCACCGCTACCCAAAAAAAGCCGAGGCCACGGCTGCTGGAGGAAGGCAGTCGACCACGCGCGCCACAGTACCCCCCGGTACCCCCCACCGCTTGGAGCAAAACCGCGTGCGAGTGCGCCCGCCACCCAGGGTTTAATCTCCCTTGCACACCTTCACGCCATCACTCAGCCACTGAACCAGGAGACGCAGTGATGAAAGGGCAGCTGCTAGACCCTGAAGGAGCTCCGATCCCCTGGCCGTCGGCCAGCAATGCGCTCGTCCTGATGCTCATCCTCATCCGAGAACCCAGGCCCACGATGGCGCCCTGCGGCAGCCCGGGGCACATTGGGGATATTCTCGAGGCCGCCCTCGGTTTGTGCGTGCCCTGTAACAAGGCCCAGCTGCCTATGAGGGACAGCTTCGGACAGGCACGCCGCTTCGCCGTGCAGGACTTTCGCAGGCTCCACGGCAACATCGAGAGCTTTACTAAGGCCTGCTCCCACCTCGTCACCGTTGCGCGCCATCATCGGTTCGTCGAGGGAACCTGGCAGGCCTTCACCTGGAACGAGCTAGTCTCCCACGGCTTCCCGCTCGGAGACACGCGAGCGGCCTGCATCGTCCGCGCTACTCCCGCAGACCTGTCCGCGCACCACTTCGCAGTCTGCGCGCTATCCCAGGGCCTAACTGGGACCGGCGTCGGGCCCCTGTCCCGCGCGCCCGCGATCCAGTGCGTGGTCGGCGGAGTTTCTGGCGGCGGCAGTGCGACCTGCAAGTGGCGGTCAAGAAGTCGAGGGCGCTCGCCAACGTTCAGGAGGGAAAAAAACACAGACACAATTAATCCTCCACTCCCAGGAAAATATGGAAAATATGGAAAGTGGGGGGGAAGACAAAAACACAGAAAATATTGGAAAATATGGTGAATCCTGTTATTTGTATGTATTTATTTGTGTGTCCCAGGGCCCCTTCAAACGTGGCCGAGGCTCGCGAGGCACTGCAGCAGCGTTTGGGGCGGCCGCTCGGCGTGGTCGCGGTGGCGAGGGGGCACAACCTCGGTGTCGACTGCTGCTGCGGCAAGCGCATCGCGCCTGCCGCGCGCGCCGACAAGCTTCAGGAGGGGAAAAAACACACAGACACAACTAATCGTCGATTCCCAGGAAAATATGGGAAAATATGGGAAGTGGAGGGGAAGACAAAAACCCAGAACATATGGGAACATTTGGAGCATATTTTTATTTGTGTGTATTTATTCGTATGTCCTGGGGCCCCTGCAAAGCTGAAGCAGGCCAATCAGAGGCTGCGGCGTGCCCAGATCGTCAAGACGGGCAAGGGCCGCAAGGCCGCGGCGCGCAAAGTGGCGCGCGCGGGACTGGGGCCGAGCGTTCCCCACGGCTTCGGGGCCACGGGCTGCGCGCGGGGCGAGCTGTACAAGCTGCGCTCCGCCGTCCTCGCTGCGGCATCGGCCAGCACGGTGGGCAGGCCCCGCGCGCTGTCGCTCATGCTGCACCGCGAGCTCGATCCGACGTGTCGTGCCACGCCGATGCCCATCCTGATGCTGCTGCGAGCGGTTTGGGAAGGATGGGTTCCACGGCGCGCGGTGAACTTCTGCCCCTGCGAGGGGCGCGCCGTGAACTGGGCGCGCGTGCAGGGCCCGCTCTCGGCATGCGTGGCCACTCTGTCCGCGTGGGCTGGGAGGTGGTGCACGTGGAGGACTCAAGGTGGCGCGGAGCTGAAGATGTTCGACACTTCCCCGCGGTTGGTCAGGAAGTTGCTCTGCAGTGCCGTGGAGAAGTGGCAGTGGCGGCAGGTTGCCATGGCCCCCGGGTGTGCTCACCTCGCGCACGGCGGCGTGCTCGAGATGTTGGTCACGCTCACCTCCGCGGGCATCGTCGCCAGCGTCCGGCAGCTCGCGGAGGAGGGAGAACGCGGGCGGCTCCGTGCGCCCGTGCGCCTGTCCGTCCAGGAGCGGCGTTACATCGCGTCGCTTGCCGCCCGGGGAAGGCTGGCGCTGGCACGGCCGACTCCGATGTCTGCCTCTTGTGCTGGTGCGCTGCTGCACAGGCACTGCGAGTGCGAGGGCTCGCAGGACACGCTGGCGTTGCCTGCGGAGGTCCAGGCATTGAGTGGGCGCGCGGACTTGGAAGAGGTGAAGCTCCTGCTGGAACGCTGCCTGCGGCCCGCCTCGATGGGCGTCGAGCTTCTTGCCGGGCTCGCGGATGTTTGCTGGCAGGGCGAGCACGAGGGCGTCGTGCCGTCGGGGAGCGCCTACCTCGACAGGTCTGCATACGAGGCGGAGTTCGACGGCTTCGAGAGCGTTGGCTGGGGCGCGGCGGCGCTGCGGCATGGCGCAGGCAAGTGCCTCGCGTCGATCTCGGGGATGCTCTGCGAACGGTTCGTGGACATCAATGGTTGCGAACTGACGGCGCTGATCATGCTCGTTCGTCACAGCCTGCCTCCGATGGAGGCGGTGGAGTTTCAGTTTGTGTTCCAAGGGGTCATGGAGCTGGGGAAAGAGGCCACCACCAGGTATTGTTGCGCGTGGGCTCACCTGTGGCGCGTGCTGCGGAGTTTCCTGGACGACTGCGAGGGCGTCGGCGAGCAGGGGGTGCGAGTGCGATGGGTGACGTCGCACTGCAACGCTCGTGACGTGGAGTCGGGCAAGATCAGCCTCGTCGATTGGTGCGGCAATCGTTATCCGGATGAGGCGGCCAAGTCAGCTGCCGCCTTCGGCCGCGTGCCTGTCGGCCCCTGACGCAAGCTCCAGCAGTCGCGCGACCTGGTCGACAGGGGTGGCCATGCGGTGCAGCGCGGACGGGGCTTGCGTGCAGGGCATGGACGCCATGCGCCGCAAGGCCACGCCGCAGCGGGCTGCGGCGAAGGAGCCGCCTGCGCCGCGGGCTTTGTCTGTGCCATGACCTTCGCGAGGGCGCAGGCGGGCCCTGGCGAGCGAGTTGCAGGCTGCTGCGGCCCAAGGCCGAGGAGTGCACTGGCAGTGTGGTCTCGAGGGTGCTGGACGTCAACCGCGAGAATTTGGCCAGTGGCGAGGCCCGCGCGCTGGCGGAGATCCACGTGCAGCGGGCGGGCAGCCTCAAGCGCGAGATGCCGCAGGTGGTCTGCCTGGTTTGCGGCGCGACCGGAGCGCTGAAGGCGGATGGGTTCCGCCGCCCATGCGTGCAGATCGCGTCGGCCAAAGGCAAGTGCGTCTTCTCCAGGCTCGATCGCAGGCTCGCGCCGAGCGTGGCAGCGCCCGACGCGGTGCCGATCGAGCTGGTGGACCTGCCGTCTGGCGCCGCCGCTGGGGCGCTGCGAGGCCGCAGCCATGCCGTGCGTCGGGGCCTGCGCTCCGTAGGGCCGCTGACGCTGCGCGGGGTTCGTGTTCCCCGTCGCGCGCCAGCCTTCGGAGGGGGCCGTCCGCCTCCCTCTATGCCGCGTTCCTTACTCCTCCTCCTGTCGAGAGGGCAGGGGTGCTTCGCCTGAGTCGCGTGCTGGTCCTCACTTCTCTTCCTCCTCGTCCTCTTCGTCTTCTTCCCTTCCCTCTCCCTCGCCCGCCCCGAATTGCGTCCTTTCCCTGTCATCCTCTTTCTCTCCCCCCCTTCCCCGCCCGCTTCTTCCCCTCGCCCGCCCCCTCTTTCCCCCCCGCCCTGCTCTTCCCTGGAGCTCCCGGGAAGCGTTGCCAGAGGCCCGGGCCGGCGCAACCCCTCCCCCCCAGGGAGCGACCGCCGTTCGAGCCTCGGCCCAGCAACGGTCTGACCCAGGGGGTCCGTGCTGCGCACTGGCTCACTGGCGCCTGTTTTTTTTGGCAATCGGGGGAAGATAAGATGCGGGTAAGCAGGAACTCGGGTTTGTCCAGGTTTTTGTTGACGAGCGCGTCCTGGACTTTGACGGTCCGGTTTTCGTGGGATGTTTGCAACGCGAGTCTGCGTCACATTTCAGATTTGGTCTCATCATTTTCATGATGGCCCCGCCAGCCCAAGCCGAATCAGCCGTTCCCGAGTCATACGTCTCCCGGACTTAGGATCCAGGCAAGTTTATTTGCATGGCGTTCGCCCCCCGCCCCCCCCTCTCGCCCCTCTTCAATCGAACTCGACCGTGCAAGTGCCTTTCGACTTGCGTGACTTCTGCACGTCAGGCTGTTTCCGGCTTGCTTCAGGCTCAGCCCCTCCCCCCCTCCCGTCCATGCAAATAAATTTGCCCGGGTCCGAAGAAAACAATATCTTTTGGGTGCTGCGCCGGCTCCAAGCCAAGCTTCGCGATGACGGAGCTCCCCTTGTCTCGGCAACACCCCAACATACTTATACTATATGTGCGTCGCCCCCCCAGGGGCGACGCGCGCACCGAGAAATCTTATAGTATATGCGTCGTGGCGGGCGCTTTCTGGCCACACCGCTCGGGAAACGATATACTACAAGATGGGTATACTATATGTTCGGGTCGGACGCGCGCCTCCAAGGAGGACATATAGTATTAGTATGTCCATGTGCGTCCCCTCATCCCTCCCCGCCGAAGCCGCGGGGTGCCCCTGCGGCGTCGCCCCTGCCGCGGGGGTGGTGGGTTGGGAGAGGCCGCCGCGCGCCGCCTTCGAAGAGCTCCGCGCAGTGGCTGCTGGCGCAGCCCGAGGCCCGCTGCTGGGGTTCCCGGGCTCGGCGCCAGGGAGGAGGAGCGAGGATGAGTGGCGAAGACGGGAGGAGGAGGAGCGAGGATGAGTGGAGAGGAGGGGAGGAGCAGGAGGAGGAGCGAGGATGAGTGGCGAAGAGCGGAGGAGGAGGAGCGAGGATGAGTGGAGAGGAGGGGAGGAGCAGGAGGAGCGAGGATGAGCGGCGAAGGGGGGAGGAGGAGGAGCGAGGATGAGTGGAGAGGAGGGGAGGAAGAGAAGGAGCGAGGATGAGTGGCGAAGAAGGGAGGAGGAGAAGGAGCGAGGATGAGTGGAGAGGGGGGAGGAGGAGGAAGGAGGAGGAGGAGGAGGAGGAGCAGGAGGAGGAGCAGGAGGATGATGAGGAGGAGAACGAGGAGGAGGAGGAGAAGGGCAAGTGCGAGAAGTATCAACGATGGTGCAACACATCATCCCTCCCCACCGGATTCTACAAGAGCTTACCTTTATTGTGAGTAGTGCCGCGTTGACGGACAACCGCCTGAGAGTCCCCAATCGTGCCAAAACGCAGTTCGTTGGACATCAACGTTGCGGATCAACGCGACTGTTGACCTGCTATCTTGAATTGTGCCAGAGCGCCTTTCTTGGGCTTTCAATACAGCGAATCAACGTGATTGATGCGTCCGAGCAATCCTAAACCGTGCCAGAGCAGCATTCCTACGACTTCTACTATACGACTCCTCGAAGCTGTTGCATACTTTTCAGACGGATGTGCGCGGATCGAAGGCGAGAGCCACGTTTTGAATAATGAGCCGCCTTTGATCAATTCAACTGCTGAGAGCTTTCGAGATGAGTGTGTGCGGCGCCAAAGCGAGAGCCACGTGAAAATTTCCCGCCCTCGTGTTTTCTTATTCGCTGTGAGTTTTCCAGATGTGCGTGGCGCGCAGGCGAGATCCACATTTTGAGAACGGCCCAGTCTCCATTCTTGAAACCGGGCGAGCGGGCGCGGCGTGAAGGCGAGAACCACGTTTTGGAGCGACCCGCCCTCCATCCTTGAAACGGTTGTAAGTATAAAGCTTCTGCACCACGAGTGGTGAGGACGGCTCGGGCGGAACGTCTGGCCCTCCCTATTGACGTGTCCGAGGTGCAGCAGGGAGGAGTTAGTCATAAGGGCACGGGATGGAGGAGAGGCAGCGGGAGGAGGAGCAGGACCGGGAGCAGGAGCAGGAGGAGGAGGGGCGAGGGTGAAGGGCGAGAGTGAGGAGCGAAAAAGAGGCGCAAGAAGAGGAGGAGGAGGAGGAAGAGGAGGAAGAGGAGGAGGAGAATGATAGTGGAGGAGCCATGATGACGGTAAGTATGATGATGATAATCATGATGATGCTGATGATGATGACGACGATGACGATGCTGCTGACGATGCTGATGATGTGGTGATGTTGATGGTGATGCTTATGGTGATGATGCTGCTGATGTTGCTGATGATGCTGGTTGTGGTGATAATAATGCTGATGATGATGGTAATGATGATGGTGATGGTGATGATGATGCTGCTTTTGATGATGATGATGATGATGATGATGATGATGATGATGATGATGATGATGATAATGTTGTTGATGATGATGATGACATAGCTCATGATGATGCTGATCTCAATGATGATGATGTCGAACATTATGATCATGATGGTGATGATGCTGATGCTGATGACGACGATGATGATGACGATGACGATGATCACGTTGATGCAGATGATGAGGATGATGATGCTATTGACGATGATGTTGTTACTGATGCTGATAATTTTGATGGCGAGGATGATGATGATGATGCTGCGGATGATGACGATGCGTCTGCCGATGATGATGCTGATGATGACGATGCTGATGATGATGATGTTGTTGTTGTTGACGATGCTGATGATGACGATGATGATGATGATGATGGTAATGATGATGAGGCGGCTGATGACGATGAGTATGATGCTGATGATGCTGCTGCTGATGGCGACGACGATTAAGACGATGATGAGCATGAGGCTGATGCTGCTGATGTCGACGACGATAATGAAGCTGATGATGATGATGATGATGATGATGATGATGATGATGATGATGATGATGATGGTGATGATGGTGGTGGTGGTGATGATGATGATGATGATGCTGCTCACGATGCTGATGCTGATGCTGCTGCTGCTGATGAGGATGATGCTGATGCTGACGGTGATGCTGACGATGCTGATGATGTGGTGATGATGATGCTGATGATGGTGACGATGATGATGCTGATGATGATGGTGAGGAGGATGAGGTTGATGGTGGTGATGATGCTGATGCTGATGTTACTGACGATGATGATGCAGAGGATGATGGTGATTATGATGCTGATGAGGACGATGTTGCTGATGATGCTGATGGTGATGCTGCTGATGATGATGATGATGATGATGATGATGATGATGATGATGATGATGATGTGTTTCATGATGTTAATGGTGATGCTGATGATGATGATGATGCTGCTGATGTTGATGATGATGATGACGCCCACGACGAAGATGTTGCATATGCTGGTGCTAAGTATGTTGATGCTGATGCCGACGACGATACTGAAGCTGATGATGTCGAGGATGCTGCTGCTGGCGACTACGATGATGATGATGCTGATGCTGATGCTGGTGCTGATGATGCGGCTGATGACGAGGATGCTGATGATGATGTTGATGAGGATGATGAGGCTGCTGATGCTGATGCGGATGTTGATGCTGATGCCGGTGATGCTGATGATGCTGATGAGGATGATGAGGTTGATGATGCTGATGATGATGATGCAGATGATGATGATGATGATGATGATGCTGCTGATGCTGATGATGAGGATGATGATGATGATGGTGGTGGTGATGATGATGATGATGGTGATGATGATGATGCTGATGATGATGATGATGATGCTGATGATGATGATGATGCTGATGATGATGATGATGATGATGATGATGATGATGATGATGATGATGATGATGATGTATACTCATGCTGATGATGATGATGAGGAGGAGGAGGAGGCGGAGGAGGGGGGAGGAGCAGGGAGGAGGAGGAGGAGGAGGAGGAGGAGGAAGAGGAGGATGCGGAGGAGAAGGAGGATATGGTTGAGGAGGAGGAGGAGGAGGACGAGGAGGAGGGAGAGGACCAGAGTGACACCAGGCTGCATCAACGATGCTGCAACACGCCCTTCTGTCCCCAATCCACTCCCCTTTAGTCGCTGTCGCTGTAACGATTCCTTCTTCACAGTTGGAAGGGCCGCCTTGGAAGACTTTGGCCTTATGATCTTGCAATGCAGGCGAGAGCCCCTCTTAAGAACTGAGCTCTCTTCCAGGCTTCTGGCTATGATGGACGGCGACGAGGAATAGTCATAGCATCTGAGGGAACTTCAAACGATGGCCCCGATTTGAAATGGAGCCGCCCTCAATCCGTGCAGTTTTGCCCCAGCGACGTCTGGCCAGAAAGTCAAACGACGTCTCAAGCGAGAACCTCGATTTGACAGGGAACCGCTCTCCATCCGTGAGGTTGTTGAAGAATAGTGTACTTCTCGTGGTGATTCGCCAGGGGATATCACATGAAACCTTCAGTTTTGACTATGAGCCGCGTTCTATCTATGTAACCGCCAGGAGTTTCGACGACTCGTATGTGCGGCGCGAATGCGAGAGCCACGTTTTCACATTTGCCCAGCCATCCGTGAAACTATGGGGATCTTCCTGACACGCGTGAGCGCGGTGCTGCGGCGAACACCGCACTTTGAAACGGACCCCCCCTCCACCCGTGTCTATGCTGGAAACGTCCCAGGCGATGGTGCGCGGTGTTGGCGCAAGAGCCATACTTTGAAACGGAACCGCCCTCCAACACGAGGAGGAGGAGGAGGAGGAGGAGGAGGAGGAGGAGGAGGAGGAGGAGGAGGAGGAGGAGGGAGGAGGAGGAGGAGGAGGAGGAGGAGGAGGAGGAGGAGGAGGAGGAGGAGGAGGAGGGAGGAGGAGGAGGAGGAGGAGGAGGAGGAGGCGGAGGAGGAGGAGGAGAGGAGGAGGGAGGAGGAGGAGGAGGAGGATGTGGAATGTGCGCCGTCTACGGCGGGGGCCCCATTTTGAAAGCAACCCCCCTCCAGCCGTGTAACTGCTGGAACCGTTTCAAGGCGACCGTGCGCGGCGCGAAGGTGAGCGCCACCCTTTGAACACGCGCTGTGCTCTGTCCAGTCAGCTTGGGCGCTTTTAAATCGACCGTGCGCGGTGCCACGGTCAGAGCCACATTCCGACCCCCTCTCCATCAGTGTAGGCGTTTCAAGGCTCACGTTTCGGGGTCATGCGCTGGGGGGGGGGGAATTCTCACGCGAAGCGCGGGCCCGCCTTACCGAAACGCGTGGTGGTCAAACGAGGAGATGTTGCCTGTAAGGACATGCGATGCAGGATGAGGAGGAGGAGGAGGAGGAGGAGGAGGAGGATGAGGAGGAGGAGGGAGGAGGGGGGAGCTGCTCGTAGGAGCAAGCCTCGTACAGTGAGGAGGATAGGGAGGAAGGAGGAGGAGGAGGAGGAAGAAGGAGGGAGGAGGAGGGAGGAGAGGAAGGAGGAGGAGGAGGAGGAGGAGGAGGAGAGGAGGAGGAGGATGAGGAGGAGGAGGAGGAGGGGAGGGGGCAGGAGGAGGAGGAGGAGGAGGAGGAGGAGGAGGAGGACGAGGAGCTGGAGGACGGGTACCAGCAGGAGTGAGGGAGGGAGGCAGGCAGACAGGCAGGAGGAGGGGTAGGAGGAGGCGGCGGAGGAGGAGGAGGAATGGGAGGAGGAGGAGGAGGAGGAGGAGCACCAGAAGGGAGGAAGGGAGGGAGGGAGGAGGAAGAGGAGGAGGAGGAGGAGGAGGCCCGAGCGAGAGGACGAGCCACTAGTGCTTGGTTGGCTTGCGAATGGAGCTGCTGACGCAGCTGCTGAGATGGGAGCGAGCACATCCCAACTCCAAGGGAGTCAACCCGCACAATAAGGAGCAACGGTCCAAGGCTATCCTTGCACCCTTGCGCCGTCGGCCCATCCTTAGCAACTTTCGCTGGCCGACCTCGCTCGAAAAACGTTAGCATGGCCCTCCAAGACCCTTGCATCCTTACCGCGCATCTTATCAGACGGGTTGACTGTATGTCGAATCGATGAGCTGCCCTGGACGGTCCAGCAACACCGTCATCGGCGCCAGAATTGTTTGCCCCGAGCTCCATGGATGCCAGTATAGCTGACACGAAGCTGCGAGACAAGGATTTGGCATTGAGTGTTGACGAGGACAGGCCTGGCTGGGATCACCGAGTTGTCTCTGACTCTGAGAGTGTCAGATGTCAGTTATGCCTCACCCGACCAACCGCAGGCTTGAGAATGCAAGATCGGTTTGCCTCCCCGTGTACCCCCAGTGAGTGACATCGACCCCATGGTACAGGTTGGTTTTCGTCTGTAAGGGGCTTAATCGTTGAAGCCAGAGCTCCCTCCACCCCCTCTCCCCCTCCCCGTACTCCCTCCTACAAGTTGGCCTTCTTCTGTAAGGGGATGCATCGTTGAAGCCAGAGCTCCGTCCACCCCTTCTCCTCCCTCATCGTACTCCCTCCTGCCTCAGCTCTTCTGCCTCCCCCCCGTTCCTCCACCCCCCAGGCCTCCTCCCTGCTCGCCCCCCCCTCGCCCTCCACCCCCGCTCCTCCCTCATCGTACTCCCTCCTGCCTCAGCTCTTCTACCCCCCTCCCGTTCCTCCGTCACCCCCCGTCCTCCTCGTTGCTCGCTCTCCCCCCCCCCTCGCCCCCCTCGTCACTCCTCCTCTTCGCCTCCCCGTCCTCTTCCCTCCTCCCTTCTCATCCTCCTCCCTCCTGCCCTCCCCCCCCGTCCTCCTGCCCTTCCTGCTCCTTCTCCTCCTCTTCCTCCTCTTCCTCCTCCTCCTCCTGCTCATCCTTCTCCCTCCTGCCCTCCCCCCCGTCCTCTCCTTCCCCCCCTTTCGGAGTCGAGCGAACGGGATAAGTGAGAAGGATAAGGCCTTCTCAGAAGGCGGCGGCGGGACTCCTCAGAAGCCCTCGCGCCTTCTGAGAGGTTCGCCCCTTCTCACTTCCCCCCAACGCTCGCCGCCGATTGGATGGTCATAGTGGCCTTTTCGACGGGGGCTGGCCAGCGAGAGTCGCCAAGAACGGGCCGATGGGGGCCAGGATGCAAGGGCAGCCTGGGACAATGGCTCGGTCCGTGCTCTTTTCGCCCGCCTCCCTCCTGCCTCCCCCCCTGTCCATTCCTCCCTCCTGCCCCATTCTCCCCCCCGCCCTCCTCCTGCCCCTCCCCCCCGTGCTCTCCTCCCTCCTACCCCTCCCTCCCCGTCCCCTCCCCCCCGTCCTCTCCTCCTTCCTGCCCCTCCTCCCCGTCCCCTCCCTCCCTGTCCCCTCCCCCCTCCTGTCCCTCCCCCCCGTCCTCTCCTCCTTGCTGCCCCCCCCCCCGTCCTCCCCTCCCTCCCCGTCCTCTCCTCCCTCCTGCCCCCCCCCCCCCCTCCTGCCCCTCCCCGCCCGTCCCCTCTTCCCCTCGTGCCCCCATTCCCCCCTTGTGCTCTCCTCCCTCCTGCTCCTCTCCCCCCCCCGTCCCCTCCTCCCTCCTGCCCCCCTTCCCCCCTCCCCCCGTGCTCTCTCTACCCCCCCCTCCCCTCCTCCCCTCCCCCCCCCCCTCCCCCCCCTCCTTCCCCCTCCCCCCCCCTCCCCCCCCCCCTCTCCCCCCCTCCCCCTCCCCCCCTCCCCAACCAACGCGCGACTCAAGCGACCTCAGAACCGCAAACCCACGAAGACGACACACACGGAGAAGCAAAACGCAACCGACCGTCATCTACCCACCCAAACGCAGATACCAGCACGGCTAACATCCCCAGCACCGACATCGAGGATAATTTCGCACCGGAGAGCATTGTCTTGGAGTCGTGGGTCGAATACATCAAGCGCACGACAAGACAAGCAGAAAACCTTGTGCACAAGCACAGTGTGATCGATTGGAATACGAGGCAACGGCGATTGGTGTGGAGATGTGCCGCGAGAGTGGCGAAGCAGTCCCCTCGAGAATGGTTTCAATGCGTGGTCAACGGGCACCCGAGCCTCCATGCTTTTCAACAAAAAAAAGCAACAGGAATTCGGGAGGACAGCAGAAGCGATGGGATGATGACGTGCGTGATTTTCTCGTATCCCATGGCGTGCAAGAGAGACCCGCCCAGAGCAGCTACGACGTGAACAACATCGATTGGCTTAAACTGGCGACCGACGATTCTTGGACTAAACTGGAGGCGCGATTTGTCACGTGTTCCACTCCTGATACTTCTGTGGCGCCGGCCGCTTGAGTAAGCTTCCAGCTAGCCGGCCATATCTGCGAGGCCACGGCCTCGCCCGCTCCGCCCTTAAGGGGCCCGGGCGATAGCCCGCACGAACGTCACATTCCCATTCCCATTCCCATTCCCCCCCCCCCACCCCCCCCCCCCCCCCCCCCCCCCCCCCCCCCCCCCGCCGAGGAGCCCGTGGGCAACCGCTGGATCGAGCGCGCCATCAACACCACGATCCTGTGCAGCACCCCCGGGTGCACCGGCGCTCGGCGCTCCAGGCCCGGGCGCCGGCGGCGGGCCCGCCGGGCGGGCAGGAGGCTCCTTGGGGCGTCGCGCCGCCGGGGGGGGGAGGAGGGGAGGGAGGGGGGGGGCGAAGGAGGGAGGAGGGGGGCGAGGAGGGAGGAGGGGGGCGAGGAGGGAGGAGGGGGGCGAGGGAGGAGGTGGGCGAGGAGGGAGGAGGGCGACGAAGGAGGAGAGGGGGGCGAGGAAGGAGGAGGAGGGCGGGGGAGGGGGGGGCGAGGAGGGAGGAGGGGGGCGAGGAGGGAGGAGGAGGAGTCCGAGGCGTCGCGCAGTGGTGGGGGAGCAACAAGTGGGTGCTCGGCATCGCTCGGACGCGTGCCTTGGATCTCGGCGAGGACCATCGAGGAGCATCCTGGACCATCCAGGGGTATCATCGCCGAGAGAGGCTCGATCTCTTTCGGACGTGTGTAGTTTCTCTCGGCGGAGACCATCGAGGAGCATTGTTGGGTTATCCTGTGAAGAGGCGCGCGAAATCGAAACATGCAAAGGGGGAGTGGACGTCCGAGCGATGGCAAGTCGGGGGGGCAGCGCGGGCTGTGGAAAGGGTCCTTTTAGGGCGCCGCATGGGTCCCGCCGGGGCCCCAAAGGGGGCCTTGAGGGCCCGACCGTTCTTTCCGTCCTCCCCCCTCCTTCGCGCCTCCGCTGAGCGACGCCCCAGGGGGCCGCAGCAGCAGCACGATCGTGGAGATCCCGGGCCGCAAGAGGGTCAGGAAGGGCAAAGAGGTCGGGAGTCGGGGGCGGCCATGACTAGGGGAACAAGAAGTGACATGAACATTAAAAAACTCGGAGGTCCGCGCGGATTTCTCGGATCGGCGCTGGACCCCCCATCCCTGGCGCGCGGAGCGCGCCAGGGGCGGCGCCAGAGGCGCCGCCGGGGGGGCCCAGCGCCGATCCGAGAAATCTGCGCGGAACCCCGAGTTTTTATGTTTATGTTCCTTTTGTTCCCCTGATGATATCATGGCGGGGCCCATGCTATCTCCCCACATCTCACGGCGCCTCCTCGTCTCTCACTGCGTCTTCTGACCCCCCCCTGGCCGCGCACGTGCCTCGGGCCGTGAGTGTTGCGGACCACCCCTCGGATGCCCCCCTCTTGGACGCCCCCGAAGGAGTGGCGGGACGATGAGCAGAGAGAGAGAGAGAGAGAGAGAGAGAGAGAGCGAGGATGAGGAGGCAGGAGGGAGGAGGAGGGACGCGGAAGGCTCGTGAGGGAGAAGCTCTCTCGCTGTCACTTCTCGCTTCCAAGTCCCATCCCCGCTCACTGCTTGACCCAGTCCTCCCTCCTCCCGTCTCAAGCTTGCCTCTCTCCATCCCCTCCCTTTCTCCGCTTCCCCCGCCCCCTCCGCCCGAAGGCCTACAACCCGACCACCGAGGAGGCCAGGTTCTGCAGGCCGGGCGCCGGGGCGGAGGGCGGAGGCGGTTGCTGGAAGGACAGCCATCCCCCCTCCTTCCCCGTTCCCCTCCCTGCCACCTCCCCATTCCTTCTTCCTCCTGGGACTGTAAAGGCCGAAGGCACTAGGTTCTTCGTCGTCGTCGTGGTCTTATCATTATCATGTATAGTAGTGCTGCTCGCTCCTTCTTATTGTGAGTCATATTCTCATTTTTTTTCTGATTCTCATTCGTCTTGTCATCATTATTACTATTATTATTACTCCTCCTCCTCACAGTCTCATCCTTTCCAGTCCCCTACTCCTAGGTCCTAGTCTCCTCAAGTTTTGCGCCGAGGTTTTTGAGATCGGTGTAGGCGGCCCCGGTCCCTCTCCCTGCACGAATCGGGGATTCTACCCTGCCCAGTACTTCAGGTCACAGGTCGTTGTTTATTCTCAAGCTCACCCGTTGCAGACAGGCTGGCCGGCTGGCCCGTGTGGCGTTCCCCGGCTCTCTTGGCATTCTTTTGTGGTTGAGGCCACGTGGTTCTGAAAAAGCCTTCCCCCCCAGTCTCTTGGAACCTCTTGTACGCCACTTGAGGCCTCTTAGGAGCTCTCATGGGGCGTTTGGGACGGTTTCGCTCTCTTGGGAACCTCTTGGGATGTCTTGTCGAGGGCCATAACGCGCGTTATGCCCCTGTGGATAGAGCCAGGCGAGGCTCCGGCAACGGATTGGCTGGCAAAGCTGTCGTGGCATATTTTCTGGAAGGTTCCCATCATATCGTGTACAGAGTTGGAATGATGTTTGGAGCAGTGCAGTCGGCAGTTGTTGCCGAATCGTTGGCTTTAGAATGGGGTTTGCAGCGGTATTGTGCTATAGGTGAGACAACTTGAGACGGTGGGACGTGCAGGTGTGAACGCCTTGCACTTTCCAGAAAGGCAAAAAGAAGTTCAATGGTAAACGAGACCACGCGGTGTCGCACCGAGCGCGTTCCACTACTCGCAAAGTGCCTACTCGCAGGCGTCCGAACGAAAACGTGCTTGCCTCGATGTGATGGATCGTGCCCCCCCCCCCCCCCCCGCAGCGGATCCAGGCCACTTGCGAGGATGCACTTTTTGCGAGTCGTGGAACGCGCTTGCATAGTGTTTGTGGAAAAACACAGTCTGTTTACCAGCCTGGAACATATCCCTATCCCTATGCTGGGCACCTCCTCATCACGATGCCAATCTTAGGGATTCCCTTATTTTTTGAGGGCGAATCCCTAAGATTGTCATCGCCTTTTGGCGTGTCAATCTTAGGGATAGGGATACGGTCGAGGCTGGTAACATGTGGAAGTAAGCTCTCAGCGTGTTTCTTCCCCTGTGTTTTTTTTTCAGAACAAGGAAAACACACATAAACACAAAGGGTTGAATTGGTTTTGACCCGGAAAGGGTCGTCGTTGAGAGGGTGCCTGGCACGGATGCGGGGATCGGGGTGGCGTCGGTGTTTGGAGCTGGCGGTTTGCGTGGCAAGTGCGTTTCACTGGTCGCATGTGTTCGGAACGCGTGACGGGTGGAAAGGCCGCTCACCAGCAGCTGGCAGTCCTCTGCCCGCGGGCCAGAACAAATCGTCGCGCGCTCGCAACGGGGTGTGGGAAAAGGGGGTTGGGAAGCGAGCGCGGGTCCCATTCCCAAGAAGTCCCTTCGATAGGCAGCAAACCATTATTTTTCTATTTCTCTGCCGCACGGCCAATCGAACGAACGAACAACTGTCTCGGCGCGCAGTGTTAGCTTCGCTTGCGCGCATACAGGCTTCCTTCCGTTGCTTCCTTCGGTTCTTTCTCGCCATCCTCTTCTTTGTCCTCTTCCCCTGCTCTGCCTTGTCCCGCCCCCCTTTCTTTCCAGCTCGAAGCTGTCACCGCGCGCGAAAAGTGCAACCCAAAGGGGGTTGCTGTAATTCCTTTGTGTGCCACGAAGTCTCGTGTAATTCCTTTGTGCGCGGTCTGGTTGCACTGCCAACGCGGGGGGGCACGCAATGAAATTTCCTTCGTGTGCGATTGTTTTCGCCGCCCCCGCAAGAGCACGCGCGATTCCTTTGTGTAGAGCTTGCCTCCCCGCCTCGAGGAGCGCACGGGGCCTGGCGCTGCAATCACAAGACCGCGGCGCCTGGCAGCGATGCAGCGGCGCTGGATACCGCGCCCAAAACGATCCTACGTGGATTTCGGCCCTTCTGCCGAAATCGCGCTGGCAGCTGGCCAGCCACATCGCCAGCCTTGCATGCCCGCGCACGCAACCGCGTTCTGCTGCCGCGACGCGTGCTGCTGTCAACGGATGAACAAACTGACGTTTCACGGTGGTTTTCCTGTGCCAAACCACCATGGAATGTTTATTGGTAGCGGATCTTGGGATTTTGTTGCCGCCGACAGCCCTGCCACACCATGCATGTCAACTGCATCCTAGAGCACGGCCGTGCATCAACCCTGGTTCGGATCGCTGGGGGTGCAGTGGCATGTGTGCACATGCGTTGCGCCGTTGGTGGTGCCAAAACCCTTTGTGTGAAATTCCTTTGTGTGTTTTTTCTGGCTATTTTTTTTTTCCACTGTCCCTCTGCGAGCAGTGGCGCGCGCTTGCCGGCGGTGTCGGGTACCGGCGCCACGGCGCCGTCACGGCACGAGGTCGCCGCGCCTCGGCCCGAGCACGCGCGGGGCGAGGCATGGGCGCGGGCCGCCGCTCGCTCTGGCTTGGCATCGTTCGGACGTGTGCATTTATTTTTCCATCGGCGAGGACCATCGAGGAATGTTCTAGATCATGTGGGGAACAAGCCACGCACGAAACCGAACAAAAGCACATGGAATGGACGTCCGAGCGATGGCCAGCTTCCACTGTGTGTGTGTGTTTTCCCCCACAGTCATTCTGCGAGCAGTGGAGCGCGCTGGCCGACAGTGTCGGAGACCGGCGCCGGTGTCGCCACGGCACGAGGTCGCCGTGCCTCGGCCCGAGCACTCGCGGGGCGAGGCACCGGCGCGGGCCGCCGCTCTCTCTGGGAGGAGGAGGAGGA